AATTAAATAATAAATGTCATCGATGTTTTCCTTTTTTTTTTTTTTTTAAAATAATTATCATATCACTATAGCAATTATGTCTATTTCATCATATATATTATATGATGGAATGGTTTTTTTTATTGGAATGATAAGAGATAGCAATGATAATAATTTACTGATAGCAAAAATCTTTTTTTTTTTTTTTTTGCTTTATATTACTGGTATTAATGAGGAATGAACATTGTAATTTAGTAGTTGTCTTAAATTATATTTATAGTAATAATTACCTATCTAAATAATTATTGATATTTTAAATTTAATTTTTTTAAAAGATTTTAACAAAAAATATTAAATTTTGAATGATTGTTTATAGCAATAATTATTTATTTAAATAATTATTAGCGTTTAAAATTCAATTTTTTTTTAAATTCCAACGGAAAATATTAAATTTTGCATGATTATTTATCGTAATAATTAATTATTTAATAATTATTATCATTTAAAACTTAGTTTTTTTTTCAAAAGATTTTAATAAAAAATATTAAATTTTGGATGAATAATTTTGAATAAAATATTACTGCATAAATATCACTGACATTTAACATTCGAATAGATAAAATGAAATATTTCATTAGCATATATTAGTTATTCAGTTCATTTCATTTCTATCACTTAATTAATGATCATTAATGATAATTTTAGCAATCATTTGTTATTAAATTTCATTTGAATTTTATCATTTCTTTTTCTTTCTACCCCAGTTATTACTTATCGTTCAACCGATAAATAGTCTAATATTTTAGTTTAAGAAAAAAAAAAAGAAAATGGCTGATATTATCAGTTCTATCAGGAAAATGTTACTCAACAGGTTAGGTCAAAATTGATGATTAACTTTTTTTGATAAACTTCAGATAAATTACTAGGAGAAAGTTGGCGAATGCTATTACTGAATATTTGAATGAGTACTGATATTTTAACAATTTGTGAAATGAATTCGAAATAAAAATCTTTGTGACATGCGACATAAAGGATAAAATAAGCTTGCAATGATTTTTATTTCTTTACTATTTTCTACAATATTCCGATTTTTGGTGCAAAACCTCTGCTACTAACATTTGCTGATGAGACTTTACTAATACTTGTTGATTATTATTATTATTATTATTATTTATTATTTATTGTTATTATTATTATTATTATTATTATTATTATTATTATTATTATTATTATTATTATTATTATTATTATTATTATTATTATTATTATTAATCACCATTAATTATTACAATTATGATTATTACGAGCATTAAATTTGCCAATGCATTGATTTAATAAATAGATGTGTGGAAAAGCAAATAAAATGCATGAATTCCAAAATGGTATCGTTTTTTTTTTTTTTTAGCGAATTAAATTTACATAACGGTAGAATTTGTCCAGATAGTATTCAAGTACCAAGCTAATTATAAGCTATTAATGCTTAGTACCTCAATATAGTAGCTTTCAAAAAAAAAAAAAAAAAAAAAAAAATTGAATAAAATAAATATTGATTAAAAATAAAAAATCAGAGGAAAAAACTCAAACAAAAGTAGAAATTTGGCAAAAAAAAACTTTGAAAACGGCAGCAAAAAATGATGATAAGTTCTTTATCATGTTCCTTATCAGTATCATGTATTATTTATTGGTCTTTTTCTTATTTCCTTTTCATTATTCATATTCGTCCTCTTTTTGTTCTTTGATTATTAATAGATTTTAAAATATTTCTATTAGTAACATTCTTTTCAATCTTTTTCTCTTTTTTTTATATATATATTTTTTTTTATATCTTTTTTTCCCTCTTCTACGGTGATATTTTTTTTTAAAAAAAAATCAAATCATTTTTTTAAACCATTTTTTTTTAATTTTGACTATTTTTTAAATTTAAGAGCCATTTTGTCATTAATTATTTGTATAATTTGTGCTAATAATTGTTGAATAATTTGAAAAATTAAAATTTAAAATACATTCTTAAGAGATAAATTTATCATATTTTATATTAATGTTAAAATTATGATATTTGGATAGTAAAATTTTAAAAAACGTATGTATCATCATAACATGTAGTAATATTATGATACTGTAAAAGAATATACTTATATACAGTAATCTGACAATATAATAATATTACGAATTATATATGATAATTGTATTTAATCTATACATATCGTATGATTTATATACCTTATACTGTATCTTTATAGTTTTATTTACCTTACTT